TATACATACTTCGCATAATGTGCTACTTGTAGAAGGTTGCCAATTTAATCGATTTACAAATGAAATCCATTTTGCACACCTATCTGCTTCTTTCTGAAATTGAAACAACATAAAATTCTGCTTTAGCCTTACATTACAGCCACTGGCAACACAGTGCTTTACCATCTAAAATAAGGAATGAAATCAATTATGATGAAGATTTAATACATTCAGCTGTACACTTTATAGAGACCAAATGTTCACTTATTTTAACCTGCAACAAAAGCATCGACGAATCTTAGAATTAATAAGATAAAATAAATTGCTTTCGCATATACACATTTACAAAAGAAACTCATTTTTTTCAATTTTTTAAAATTTAATTAAAAGAAATTATTTTACTCATAATTATTATAGTGAAGAGATTTTGAAATTTCAAAATATTTTTAAAAAATATTACAAAATATTTATCTTTATTGTATATATAAATACAATTATCTTTATAAAAATCGTTGAGTAGAACTTTTTTCCACTGCCAGGGTACTGCCCCGTTGTTTTCGAAATATGCAGCAAAGTTGTCTCGAATTGTAGAGGTAAGTCGAGTGTGAGCGTTAGTTCTGTTAACATTGTTCATTTCTTGCAATGCACCACTTGTCATAATTCCCCCTTCACTAAGAATACGAGTATAATGCCTTTCGGAGAGTGGCAATTTGTTTTCATTCTGGATCACGAAATTATGCAAGCATACAGTCGCTTGAACAATTTTAACTGTGGTAGAGACAGATGCGATTATTGGTCGATGATAAATTCGCCATTTCGCTGTCAAAATGCCAAACACGCTTTTGATCATTCTTCGTGCTCGACTAAGACGGTAATTGAAGACTTTTCTTTGACGATTTAGACGTCCACTTCGTGGATACGGTCGCATCATGTAATGAGTCAAAGCGAATGCCTCATCCGCTACTAATACGAACGGTAATGCTGGGCCGGAAGCTTCAATTGATTTCGGTTGTGGCAAATTCATTTCATTTTTTTGGAATCGCTGACCAAAGTTTGAATGCGTGAAAATGCCGCCATCGCTCTGTCTGTCTTCCCCACCAATGTCAACCAATGTGAAACAGTAATTAGCATCACAAACCGCCAATAAATTAATACTATGATTTTCCTTGTAATTATAGAAAGTTGAGCCACTGTGAGGAGGTGACTAAAATAGAAAATGACCATTTTGATCTTTTAAAGTAAATATAAATACAATAAAGTAAATATAAGTATAAATTTAAACATTATTTAAACATTAATTTACCTGTATTATTACATGCTTTACATCTATCGCACCTAAGCAATGCGGAAAATTCCATTTTATTGCAAAATCATTTGCGATTCTTAGCCAATTTTCTTTTTTTTATTCAGGGAAAACTGATATGTGAAGAGTATTCCACAATTCCTCGCATGTTTTAGCAATAATTTTTGAGACGGTGTTTATTCCAATCCGAAAAGAATAGGCTATTGAAGCCATACTGTCCCTAGATGCTAAATACCGTAAACATACTAAAAGCCGTGTACGGCTTGATATTGGATCTCGAATGACATATTGCTTTTCAATGAATGGTCCAACAATACTCAACAACTGATAGAACATCTCTTTTCAAATTGCAAATAGTTTTACTGTATGACGTTTCTCAACTTTCCGCTGTTGAAGTGTTTGCTTCATCTTCTTCCACTTTTGCAATCGTTTCCATATAATTATTAATAATATGTTAGAATCCATTATTACGTATTTTTTTAATGTAGATTGCAAATACTATAATACATCCTAATGTCTTGAATTGTGCTATTAATTGTATGTATAATTTTTTCATATAGGTGTGTAAAGTACGTCGTAAAGCAGGATCGTAATTTAAAGCACTTGAAGATCTTTGACATCTAAAATCGCATGTATTCATATATATATATATACATTCTTATAAATAGACTTCAATCAATCATGCACTTACCATGATTCACAACGTCTTGAACGCCAGATTGCAAAATACTAAGCTGTCCTGCATAACTCGTCTTCTATATATTTCGTTTATCTTGTCACTTGTCACTTTGCCAGCCATTTTAAATATACACGTTTTACGGAACTCAAAGCATCAGTTCCCCATGAAAAATAGAATACGAAAACCAATCACAAGTCTTATTTAGCATTTCTGTTAAAGCATACAACGGAAACTCTAATCTACGATTGTTTGTATTAGTTACGCGTTCCGCGCAATACGCCCTATGTGAATGCCGTCCTTCAGAATAGCGTAACCACGGCGTATCTTTTATTAAATCACTAGATTACACTAGAATACGCAGGTTACGCTTAACGCAAGTTACGCCTCATGTGACGGCACCCTTAAGTACAGTCTTAAGACGCCCTCTAGATTCACAGTCGAAAAATGAGCAAAGATTTGATCAAAATCTTAAGTTTTAACTTGTTTAAGATGATCTTATTTTTGAACGCTTGATATGATTCATAAAACGTATCTTATTTAATATAAGCATAGGCTTAATATAATCTTTTGATGGTGGATATCCTTTATTGCCATTTTTGCTCACGCCGATTAATAATCCTGTTACCGATGAAGAAATAAAGTATGTATAATTATATTGTATAATTTTATAATTATAAAAATAATAATTCTATTGCGATAAACGGTTAAATAATCAAGAATTACTCAATAAATTAATAGTAAAAAATAGTACATAATATATATATATATATATATATATATATATAAACATAATGCTTGTAATTTTGTATATTTCTTTTATATATAATTATAATAGATGTTTCTGTATAATTAGAATATATAACAACTTGATTCATTAACACATGCACACACGCAATACACACATATAAATAAAAGTTTATTGCATATATCAATATATATATATATATATATATATATATATTATATATATTATATATAGTATATTATATATTTTTTTAGTTATAATATAATCCATGGGAAAACTAGAAGAATTGTCGAGAGAACTTTCGATATCTGGAAACGCAGATTTCCGTGTTTATTCAGAGGACTGAGTACAAAATCAGGAGACGCGGTAGTGTCTCCGGCCATGTTCAAACCCTAAAAAACTTTAAAAGACACTACAAGTCTCATATCCTGCACCATCAAAGTCCATTTTTTGGGGGTGTAGAACTACTAAAATATAAAAAATTTTGAATTACACGTAATATAACCTGAAAGGCGGCATCGCCACGAGTAATTTGAGCCAAGAAGAAATAAAATCGGTCAAGCCGTTCTGGACATACAAGCGGTCAAAAAGTGACGTTTTTCATGAAAAATGAAGTAACGTCGTCTTCTTCTTCTTCTTCTCTGTCCGCGTCCGCTGACGTCATCAGGATTATATATATATATATAAATCTCTTCTCACCTTTTACTCACACCTCCCTCAACTTCCACCCACCCCTTTCCCTCTTACATCCCGTCCCCCTGCCCCCACCCCCACCCCACTCCCACCCCTCTTTCGTCCTATTTTTTCAGTTTTTTCGTTCTCTCTCACCCTCTGTTGTCCTCTTTCACCCTCTTTCGTCCTCTTTCACCCTTTTTCGTCCTCTTTCACCATCTTTCGCCTCTTTCACTCTCTTTCGTCCTCTTTCGTCTTCTTTCACTATCTTTCGCCTCTTTCACCCTCTTTCACCCTCTTTCATTCCCTCTCACCCCCTTTCGTCCTCTTTCACCCTCTTTCGTCCTCTTTCACTCTCTTTCGTCCTCTTTCACTCTCTTTCGTCCTCTCTCACCCTCTTTCGTCCTCTTTCACCCTCTTTCGCCCTCTTTCACCCTCTTTCGTCCTCTTTCACCCTCTTTCATTCTCTCTCACCCTCTTTCATTCCCTCTCACTCTCTTTTACCCTGTTTCGTCTTCTTTCACCCTCTTTCGCCCTCTCTCACCCTCTTTCGTCCTCTTTCACTCTCCTTTGTCCTCTCTCACTCTCTTTCATTCTCTCTCACCCTCTTTCGACCTCTCTCACCCTCTTTCGTTCTCTTTCACTCTCCTTTGTCCTCTCTCACTCTCTTTCATTCTCTCTCACCCTCTTTTACCCTCTTTCGTCCTCTTTCACCCTCTTTCGTCTTCTTTCGTCCTCTTTCGCCCTCTTTCACCCAATTTCGTACTCTTTCACTCTCTTTCGTCCTCTCTCACCCTCTTTCATTCTGTCTGACCCTCTTTTATTCTGTCTCACCCTTTTTCATTCCCTCTCACCTTCTTTCGCCCTCTTTCACTCTCTTTCGTCCTATCTCACCCTCTTTCGTCCTCTCTCACTCTCTCTCACCTCTTTCACCCTCGTACGTCCTTTCTTACCCTCTTTCGTTCTCTTTCACCCTCTTTCGCATATCTCGTTCTCTCTTACCCTCATTCGTCCTCTCTTACCCTATCTCCAAAAAATCATAAAAATGAAAAGGTCAAGCCATGTTCAAAAGAAGGTCCTCAAACATTTAAACCTAGTCTGTACAATGAAAAAAAATTACTCGTAATTTTATATCGCAATATAATCTATTTATCGCAATAATTCCAGAGTTCCAATTTGTTAATATCGAATAATGTATTTGTTTCAAGTAATGGCAGTAGAGTCAAATACATACCTACGTATATGCAGTTTTTGCTGTTAAATGTACTTGAACGAAAAAAATAATTAAATGATTTAAATATAACACATTTTAAATCAAGAAACTTATACTATAATCGAACTCTGTTTAGAAAGAATGTTTGTTTCAATCACAATCACAACACCATTTTCTATTATTTCTATTATTATTATCAATCATGTTATTCACCAAATAATTATAGTATCAATAATGTTTTGCGGTTTATTTAACAATTCATAATATGTTAGGGTTATAAAGTTCTATCTATAGGGTTTTTATTTAAATAAAATGAAGAATGTATATATATGTATATTTATTTATGTATATTGTATATATATATGTATATATTTATTATATACACGTTATTGCCGTCCCCGTTCTCGGCCTGTTGCCCCAATAATAGTGAGGCGAGGACAGTTTTAGGAGGAAGCGCATAAAGCGCTCCTCCTGGACGCGAACCCCGGCGCGTCTTCCTCTGTAAACTGTAATTAAAAAACAAATTATATTAGTAATTAGATAACGTTAGAAGAATGTTAAGTTTACACCAATAAATATACAAATAAATTGAATATTTAAATAATAATTATTTAAGGAAAATCCAGTTATTAGAGGAAATCAATGAATAAATCTAGCAATAATTGCAAATACTGCTCCTATAGATAAAACGTAATGAAAATGGGCTACAACATAATATGTATCATGAAGAATAATATCAATTGATGAATTAGATAATATTACTCCAGTTAAACCTCCTATTGTAAATAAAAAAATAAATCTTATAGCCCATCAAAGAGAGGAATTATTATCAATTTTAGTTCAATGATGTTTAGTAATTTAACTAAAAATTTTAATTCCAGTGGGAATAGCAATAATTATAGTGGCCGAGTAAAATAAGATCGTGTATTGACATCTAATCCAATAGTAAATATATGATGAGCTCATACAACAAATCCTAAAAATCCAATAGCTATTAAGGCATAAATTATTTCTAAATAAAGATCCAAAAGTTTCTTTTTTTCCTCTTTCATTAATATTCTGTAAAAACTTTATTATAATCATTACATACAGTATAATAACAAAATTGCGATATTTTTTTTATTTAATGTGACATCGCAATTTTGTTATTATAATTATATAATAGTTATAATAAGGTTTTTACAGAATATATACATTGATATCAACAAAATAATATTAATGTTACATATTTAACATAACGTTACAATTATGTCATTAAAATTACGTAGTATTTACGAAACTTTTAGAGTACACATTTATATTAACCAAAATACATAAATGTTACATAACAAAGTAACACCAAAATTGCATAACAAATTCATTACGTTATTGACATAAATGATACGTCATTGTTTTGTTTCGCCGATCTATAACATATACATATATAGATTATTATGTAATTGTTTCGTAAATGATCCCTTCGTGTCTACTGGGTATCAGAGATGGCAAAATATCAATTAAATTTTTATAATTGAACAAATGATATGAACAGATTTAATTAAAATATTTTTAATTGACGATTAATTTTAAAAAGATTAATTAGATTTCGTTACAATGACGATTGATATAAGCTAGATTAATCGAATATCGTTTAATTAACAATTAATATGATCGAAGTCAATTAAAGATTATTTAATTGACAATTGATATAAACGAAATTAATCGGAGAACGATCGATTAAAAATTAATACAAGCTAATTTAATTAAAAGTTTTTTAATTAACGATTAATATGAGTTAATTTTAATTAGAAGTACTTTAATTGACGATTGAAAAAAACAGATTCAATCGAAGACAATTCAATTGACAATTGATTTGAGCAGAAACAATTAAAAAAAATTTAATTGACGATTAAATATAGCAAATTTAATGCGAATCTCTTCCATTAATGATTGACTTAAGAAAATCGATATAATTTCTCTATTTCCATTAATTAACAATGTGTAACGATTAATACAATTTAAATTTTAATCGAAGATGTTTGATTGATGATATTAAAATGACTGAATTTAAATAATATATATCTTTTCCTTGGTTCTAGCAAAGTTATTGTACGTAAAAGTTACAATATAAATAATAAATAATTTACGTTTTTTAAACCATATTTTTATTCAGAACATTTTCAATTCATTATACATTTTATTATATTTAATTTAATTATATTTAATGTTAATATATATTTCTCGAATTTTTTTTCATTTGTTCTAAAATAATAAATGTATAATATATTATAATAAAATGTGTTGTACATATATACAATATATATTATAATTCAAAATTAATAATCAAATGTAAATATTGCAGGAAGTTTGGTAATATAACGAAGTGTAACCATACAGTTTCCTTCTGGAGAACATTTCTGCATTCAACTAGGTAACCATTTCACAATGTTTTTATATATTACATTCAAATTGTGTTTATTTATTATAAATAAATTATTAGATATTATAATTTAAAATTATTAATCAAATGTAAATATTGCAGGAAGTTTGGTAATAGAACGAAGTGTAACCATACAGTTTCCTTCTGGAGAACATTTCTGCATTCAACTAAATAACCATTTCACAATGTTTTTACATATTACATTCAAATTGTGTTTATTTATTATAAATAAATTATTAGAGAGAAATATTGAAAAATATTGAATGTATATATTTTGTTATTATGTATTTATTTATATATTTATATTTTTTTATATTGAAAAAATTCATTTTTCTTTTTCTTTTTTTAAATAAATAAATTTTATTAAATATTTGTTTGCCAATTAAACAAAAATGTAATCGTACACCAGCAATTACTTTTCAAAATATTATTTTTTTTGTGTGTGAATAGTTTCATATAATATCTGGATTGCAAATATATTGGTAATAATAATAGTTTTGTTGCATATCTATTATGCATATAATTTGGAAATAATATAATTTAATAATTAAAAATTGCAAACAGAATAATATATTCACATATTTATATTTATTATATTATATCTGCACATATTCATATTGATGAGATAATTGTTTATTATATAAAATCATGTGCGTGATAATTAAATATTTTCTATGCAATCAAATTAATAAGGAATATAATGATTTAACATGATTATATTCTAAATCTGTTGGTGAAAACGTTACGTGTAACAAATATATACAATTAAAGTTATTAAAATTTTATTATTTTTGTAAAATATCATTTACTTTGTAGAATACTTGAAGATATTACAATTCTATTTTTTAATAATAAATTAATTAAATTTAATAAAGAAAATAAAACATTTTATCGTGTTCTGATATTGGTGGACTTATTAACCATAGCGTGTAATTAAATATTATAGGTCTACGCTTATTGTGATAAAGCTCTTTGATTGTTAATTGACTGAAAATATGTAATATGCAATAATGACATTAGCAATGCTAAGTTTTTAAATTAATTTTTTTTGTCGCAAGACTTTAATGTTTATATTTTTGTTATCGCAAGTTTTTAATGTCATTTTATATTTTAAATACATTATTTTTCAGATATGTTTTAAGATTCTGTAAGATTTTGGAGATATAGTTTTTGACGCGGACTTAACATCTTTTTTTAGCTTTTTTAAAATGAAATTTTTTATACATATGGTATACAAAACATTTATGAGTTTTTTATAAAAAATTCCGAAGAAAACCAAAAAAAGCTTGTTACATAAGATTCACTCAAAAACGATTTTTAATAATTATGAAGTGATAAAGTCAAATTGTATTTGCAATATGACAAGTAATGAACAAACTATCAATACTGTTTAAAAACGCCCTAGTGCAAGTCGAATTTAGGCAAAATTACCGCGGATTATCTTTGCCAATCGCGACACCGCGCGTATACAGTCCAAAGCGCCTATAGCAAGCGCTAATATGAGAACTGTAAACAACAACATTCTCTCTACGAAAAATAATACGCTCATGTCCTTCGAGACAATTCTAAAATAATAACATGTAATTCTGTGAAGGCATCTAGAATCTTCTCGAAAAACGTTGCTATAAAAGGGCACTCCAGATCGACCGGGATATAGTCGCTCTCGGAATTAGACGCATATCTGTCGCAAGTAGCACGTACGATTTCGGCGCGGTTCTGACTTTACGTAGCTCGCGTATAGCCAGCAACTAACGCATCGCCTTTCCCGTAGCTCGCGGATTCACGTATTAAACTACGGTTTATTTAACCAGTGTAAATAGCCTGTAAATAGTGTCCGTCTTAAATATACATTGTATGCGTCAAAAAATCGACTCTCTAATTAATCGCTTTTGCGAAAACGTCCTTTTCCTTGTCGCGCACTTCTCTCTTGACACTTATCGCTCGCGTTTTTGCTCTGCTATCGAACATTTTTGGTCCTTCGAGCCGGATCCTTAGCCGGTCACCGCGACGTGAGTGAGTGGATTGAGTAACTGTGTGTGATTCTGTGCTATCCGGAGAGACAAGTGAGCCGCAGCTAGTGACCTGAAAGGAAAATGGAAGCGTTAATTCTTTCGCAGCATGAGTTGTCGCAACGGGTTGCTCGCACGTACGACAACCTGAAAAAGTCCGGTATCACAAAGATAAATAAAGGGCTTGTAGCTACCACGCTCAAGCTTCTCGGCGAGAAATGGGCTAAAATTCAGGATCAGCACAGTCTGCTGAGGATGGAATATTGGAGCGAGGTCAAGAAAAACGATTACATCGTTAAGGATTTTATGGGTCAGGTCGAGGACATATACACTGTTCAGCGCGCCAGTATCCTCGCCAGCATCTCCAAGTTTACGGCCTTGACTAAGCTAGAGGAAGCGCTGTCGAAGAAGACCCTGTCCGCGGTGTCCGCCGAGGGCGAGTTTTGGACGGCTCCTCGCACCACGCTACCGCGCATCCAGCTCCCTCAGTTTTCGGGTCGGTATAAAGAGTGGCCCTCGTTTCGCGACTTATTCCATTCCATCATCGGGAAGGACGCCTCCGTAACTCCTGTGGAAAAATTGCACTATCTTAAGTCCTGTTTAAAAGGAGAAACTGAGATGTTAGTGCGAAGTTTGCCGACGACGGACGAGAATTTTGATCGTGCCTGGAAAACGCTCACGGATTATTACGAGAATCGACGACTTCTTGTGCGCTCGTACATCTCCAAGTTTACGGCCTTGACTAAATTAAAGGGCGAGTCAGCTAACGACTTACGCAAATTATATCACGGAGTAAAAAACACCGTCGGTTCACTCGAAAGTATCGGCCGACCGATCACTACCGGTGAGGATCTGTTCGTGTACCTCGTCGTTGAACTGCTCGATTCACGATCGCGGCGCGAATGGGAAAGTTCGATATGCGAAACGACGGAGCCACCGCCATACGCTAAGCTGGAGCAGTTTTGGGAAAGACGACTGCACACCCTTGAGTCTCTCCAGCCATTGAAAACGGAAGTCAGTTCGTCGAAGACGAGCACCAGTGATGCTCGCCAAACACGCTCATTGCACGTGCGCAAGC